TCGAGTCGATTACGGATCGAGTTTCAAAACATTGCTATCGATTAAATGTTTGTTTTAAAATAACTAAAAAAATTTAATAATAATAAAAATAAAAAAAACTGTCAAACTGAATAAAATTTATCTGAGCTTTTTTCTGAATAAATAAATTTTTAAAAAAGAAAGAGAGGAAAAAATTGAGGCACATTTGTCCAAAACCTATGACAGTCGCACCGCCGCATTACCACAATTTTGTTCACAAATTTTGATCTATTTATTTTCATCACTCAAAAAACATAAAATAAATCAAACAAAAACAAACGACTTGTGATAATTTATTAGTGTAGCAAAAAAAAAAATATTAAATCGAAATATCAAATCCCAATTTCTCTACCAGACTAAAAAATCGCTGGTATAAATTAATTTACAGTCATACGTGGAATTAGGTGTGAATAAATTTTGGATCGGTGGTATAATTTCATTTGTATGTCCAACATTGATTTGATAGGGTAAATGAGCCTAGTTTATAAGCCTAGTGGGCTACTCCTCCATATCACCAATTGGTTTTGGGATGGATACACACTTGAGCTTCATTTGGGCTAACCATCTTATAGTGCGCTTCACCTGTGTGGGACCGCACTCGTTTTGTCCCCGATTTAACATGGTATCAGAGCGGCCCCCGGTTTAACATGGTATCAGAGCGGGCCTAATTTGAGACCTGCGAAAAAAAAAAGTACCCGACCTGGTTGTAGGTGTGGGCTGAAAAAAAATGTACTCGGCCAAATTGGAGGCGTGGGCTGATGAAGGACTCACAAGTGAGAGGACGTCTTGGAATATCACTTGTGAGTTGTCCCACATTGATTTGATAGGATAAATGAGCCTAGTTTATAAGCCTAGTTGGCTACTCCTCCCATCACCAACTGGTTTTGGGATGAAACTTCACTTGGGCTTCATTTGGGCTAACCCTCATATGGTGCGCTTCAACTGTTTGGGACCGCACTCGTTTTGCCCCCGGTTTAACAGAAATGAAGTTAGTACAGAGTGGTTAAGTAGGGTTGAATATGAGACTCGATTATGTTTCAAAAATACTTTGAACAGAAAACAACCATTGGCCATTTGATTTTTTTTTCCGAACATAATCGAACTCAAACGAAAAAAATAATTGATACGGTTTTAGAGATTTTACAAATCGTACTAAATCAAAGAATGAAATGAACCATCCCATATCGTACTGAATCAAAGAATCGGATTACAACATGATATGTGTGTCATGTTCATATATTCACGACAATTTTAATCCTATATAATTTGAGTAATTTAAATTACTTAATAAAATAAATTAATAACAACAACAACAATAATAATAATTATAATAATAATAACTAAACTTCACTTAAATTATATAATTAATACTCCCTCCTATTC